GTAAGTAACTAAAAACTTTAACTAACTGTATCGGTATTAGTTTTTCTCAGACGGTGATGATAATAGCTGTTCTTAGAGATGGAAACCTAGTTTTTTTATAAGAAAAATATTGCTATTTTCTTGTGTTAGTAATAATAATAGTAATTGTTCTTAAAGGTAAAAAATTAGACAAGATAACAGGGTTTAACCCTGTGACTACCAGTGCCATTTTTATATTCCTTTCTGTGCATATCACAAAGCATTACTGAGTTACATTGAAAACTTAACTAAACCACTTTACTATCAATGTATTTTAATGAAATTAGCATTATCATGTACATTATAATTCAAAGTCTTATATTATTTAATTTTTCCTATATTTCAAAAGAAACTGTTGAAAAAAATAATTAAAAATTTCAGGTTTATTCTCACTTGAAGTGCAAGCAGCTATATCAACTGAACTTTAGACTTTATATACAAGAAACGACTATGGTTAAAAAATGTTTTTCTTGTTGGCAATAAACTACATGTACATACATTTCATTTACCAGTAACTTGATACACATTCTTTGAATTGTGCTTAAAAGGAAAACTGTTATAGAATTCCTGAGTTCAAGCTACACCATGCCCACTTACAAAGTAGAAGCTCTGTTGTTAAGCAACAGTTTTAAGTTGACTGGCATGTTTATAACCAACAGAAAGAGCAGATTTTGCTGTTAAAGATCATTACTGTAACAGGAAATGTGCATTTATACATCTGTTTTCAAACGGGGTGAAATGAGTCTAAGTCCATTATTGAGAGCAGTGTCTGTAGCTTTTGAAAATTTTTTCTCGTGTTATATGTATTAGTTTGCTAGATAGTTAGATTGGATTTAAGTTTTACATGTATATTTTAATTATCTGTATTATTTGTGTTTGAAAATTTTTATTTGAAAGGTTTAATGGTTTTTAAACTATTTTATACTTTGAATACCTAAAACAGCTTTGAAAAAGTTATGAGAAATATTGTGCAGGGGTGGGAGTTAAACTATCTTGCCAAAGTTAACATTATTATCGCCCGCGAGCACTTGTTAATGTGTGTCAACATAAATAATCAAAGCTAAAGAACAGGAAAGGAAAATAAAACATTAAAAATAAACTATAAGTGAAAAGATACAAATGTGAAATTATGCATGTAACTCAAAGATATTTTTAGATTATCCAGTGAAGTACATATTTCTTTTGTTAATTTTAAACATTTCATTTCACTGTGCATTGATGATAATAGCTAGAGTTAGTGATGTTGTAAAGAAAATGGCAAATAAAATCTAAACATTTATCTTAAACTTTTGATATTCATTTAGAGGGTTCTAAAGAAATGTGAAAAACTGTAAAATAAAAATTAGTAGCTTTATGCGTAAAATGAAAATCACTTTGCAATTGAACTATTCAGGGTCTGAGTGTAAATAACTACATTAAATAACAAAGTCTTGTTAGGAAAAGTCTAAAGTATACATTTTAGTTTTTGGAAACAACATACTTTTAGGAAAATTCTTGTCAAATTTCAAACAATTTCACCCACTTTTATTTTTGTAACGAAGTATGACTAGAGCGATGTTACCTATGCTCTGACAGAGAAGGCAGGTGTTCTTGGCTTAAGATCACTCCCTGATTTAAGAAGAACCAACAGGTAGTTTAGGGAGCTCGAGAGTACAGAAACATTAAGGTCATAAATGATTGAAGAAACTTGTTGGTTATTAAGAACCTACAGGAAGTTGATAGATGTCAATCATACTGAAACATTGGGGTCAAAATCGACTGAAGAAACTGATTGGTAAGAGTCAACAGGAGGTTGAGAGAGTTGAGGGTGCAACTATAGCGTGTGGTCTACAAAGATATTGACACTATAGCGTGTGGTCTACACATATACTATCATCGTCACTGTTTTAATGATTCACTAAAACATAATTTCTTGCTCAATAATTTATATATATATATATCCACGTTTTTGTTCAGAAAATAATAATAATAATTTAATAAGTTGTGTGTTCCAAAAGATTACCTTAAATTTAGGTTATGATTCTACTAGATTTGGTTGTTGGAATTTATTTCATTCTGATTATATTTGCCCCGAAAACGTGTATTGTAATGGTATTTTGTACTTTATTAGTTTAAAAGTGTTATTTATAATAAATGGCACCAATTGCAAATAAACAAAACAAAAGTTAAAATAGTGATGATGATAGTATCTGTGTAGACCACACGCTATGGTGTAAATATCTTTGTAGACAGCACGCTATAGTAGCACTGAGTTGAGAGTACTGAAACATTGGAATCATAAAGTACTGGAGAAATTTATTGGTTTGTAAAAACCAACAAGAGGTTAAGAGAGTCAAGAGTACTGAAACATTGGGATCATAAAGGATTGAAGAAACTCGTTGATTGCTAAGAACCAACAGAAAGTTGAGAGGGCTCAAGAGTACAGAAACATTGGGATTATAATGGACTGAAGAAACTTGTTGATTGGTGAGAACCAACTGGAGGTTTAGAGTTCAAGAGTACTGAAATATTGAAGTCGTAAGGAACCGGAGAAAATTATTGGTCGGTAAGAATCAACAGAAGGATCAAGAGAGCTCAAGAGTTCTGAAACATTGGGGTCATAATTGACTGAAGAAATTTGTTTATTGGTAATAGCTAACAGGAGGTTAAGAGAGTTCAAGAGTACTGAAACATTGGGGTCATAGTTGACTGAAGAAATTTGTTTATTGGTAATAGCTAACAGGAGGTTAAGAGAGTTCAAGAGTACTGAAACATTGGAATCGTATTCATTGATGAGAACTAGTTGGAGGTGTGGAATTAAATTTTTGATTGTGAAGCAAAGGAAGAAAAGGATAATAAATTAACAAATAAATGTGTAAACTGAAAATAATCATAGAAGTGGAGTTGGAGAAAGAATGAAAGTAAATATAAATGCAAAAATAAAATAAACGTTTTTGTAGGAGTACATCATACGAGTTTCTAATATTCTAAGTTTTTTGGTAAGTGTAAAAGTGCCAGGTTTCTCATAAAAAATAATTTTGTTCCCTTAAATTGGACAACTTTTGTTTTATGATTATTCAAAAACCTTCTGAGCCTAAAAAAATTGTGGCTCGAGTTTTAGGGTTTTTTTCATTACCTGTACAAACCCTGATTGAAATTGACCTTGTATAGTTCACTATTCATGTTTGTTAATACTTGAATTACTTGTTTTATGAACTAGCATCAGTAGTAGTTAGTATCTTTCTTGCTTAATGTAAAATTTAAAAAAGAAAACAGATAAATCGTAAGACAATGACATGCATCTTCATTTTCACATTAAATATAAATGTTAATGTTTGTTTTGTAGATCTATATTTGCTGTTTGTAAGTTTGCTGTTGTTTCCATATAAAATATAGTAATTGTAAGAATATGATATTGATAATTTACTAAAGATTATTAGTCTCCTGTAGTTTTTATTCTAAATGTTGTTGGTGTTTATTGACTTTTATGTCAGGTTTCTGGCTGGTCAATTGGTGACTATTCAAAGTGGTTAGATGATCATCCTTCAGACATGGACCAATTATCATTTATCAGGTGAGTTACATTTTACCATAGTTAATGTTCATGGGAATGAGTTTTCATACACTGCTTGAATCTGTAGCCCAAATAGCTTAGATGAGTGACTGACCCTTTATTATGTGGTATTCTTGGTTAGTCTTTATGTTCACTTTATTTAGTTTTAATACCAGTAACATTGCTAATAAGGATATATTTCTGTAAAAACTAGATATTATGTTAAAAATCAACTGTATGTAATTACTTGCCATCTAGAAACAAAATACAAGCATTTTATACAAATATGTTGTTTACTTTCTTGATTATTATTTCAAGTTTATTGTATTTTGTGCACCCACATTTTTTCTAAAGAATCTTGCTAAGTGTTTAATTGTTTGATTGTACAACTTGCCGATCTGTTTAAAGGTGGACGTTAGAAGCCTATGTTAATACTGTGAAACAACGTCAGGGTCGTGAGTTCTGCTTCATCTACCCTATCATGCTTGAATTACTACATCTTGGCTTACAGAAACCTGAAACAAGGTGATGGCTTAAATGTATAATACTTGTATCTTAAGCATGAGATGAATTCAGACCATCAGAATCTGTGCTTCAAGAATTATTGATAACTGTTATAATTATTTACTTCCAATAAAAGTGTGTGTTTGATGCATTCTATGTATTAAAAGTACCTTTATCAGTGTTATTCAATGGAATAATCATTTCTTCTATTTGCTTAGAAAGACTGAAGATATATATTGTATAAGCACCATTCAACAGAAGTTCTGTATTTGTTTAGTTTCACAGGAGAGGTATTCGGACTACACTGACACTATAAGCCTAATAACTTCTGGTTTTAAAAATAAATTGAAAGAACTTTCTTATTGCTTTTCTGTTATTCATACATCAAATATATTCAAATATTTATAGACTTTTCTTACAAAGGAACTTTCTTGTCATTTTGGTTTATTTCAGTGATGTGTTTATCATGTTATTTTTATATTGAGGTATGAGGCAATTTAATTTTTCGGTATAATTTTAGGGGATTCTGAGGAAAATGTTAGATAATCAACATATTAAAAAAAGCTTGTAAATGTATCAGGTTTATAATGTGTGATTATTAGATAGAGATGAATAGCACAATCATTTGTAACTTGTTTTCTGTGTATAACATAGTTGAAAAGATTAATACTTTTGAATAAACCTCCATAACTCTAAAATATTAAAGTATAATTTTTTCTACTGAGCTATTGATTTTACATAGTAACCACCTAATTGAAATAAAAGTATAAAGTTTTTGGAGATTCCAAACCCTAAGCTCTATAAGTGAATAGCTTAGGCAGCTTAGGTGATTTCAATGAAGCAGAAATTTTTTGATCAGGGTTCTCACAAGAGTTCCACAGTGAAGGGTCCCATAGGTAGAATTTAATAAACTCAAATGAAAAAAGCACTTCACTGTTAATGGAAAACTATTTACAATGTAGAAAAGAGCATGTTAATGTTCACTAAAAAAAACTATTTACAATTTACACTGCATAGTTTCCTTTTATGAGTGCAAATTAATTTTCATGATAAGATTAAATTTACTTTTTTCATCTGAAAATTTTCATATATCATCTTCATAACCTAAATAAATGTCCTAAATAAATATCAAATGTTTTTTGTTTTGTTTTTTCAGAAAAACTATATTTTATCTATTATTCTCTTAACCATAACTCTGCATAGGTCAGTTGATTTGACCGACCTTGTTACCGCCATAAAAAATTAGGAAATAAATATAAATTTTCTATCCAGACTGATTACAAGTTGTAACAGAAAACCACAATTATTTATTCTAAGTAGTTTAAGGCTTGTAACAAAATGCATCTATTTATACTTAAATTTTATTGTTTTATTGCCCTTTGACCTGTGCACCATATTAATTGCAAGTATGTGGTGAATGTGCAGCTCACATTATGGTATTGAATGACATAATGCACGTACTGGCAAGTACTGATGTAGAAAGTAACAGCTTATACTTCACTTAAGAAAAGGTAGATGTAGGTTGTTGTTTTTTTTTGTTCCATGAAGCATCTGAGGGTAATTTCAAAGAATATATCAGAGGAAAAAGTGCTTGAATTTCACATGTAACAAATGAGTAGTTGCCACAACCAAAAAGCTTATAGATAAGTGTCCTTTAAAGTATTGATCACTTGAAATATCTCTTGCTTTGGTCTTATTGCTATGATCAGTGACAAGGAGGATTGCATGGCAAACTTTACTAATATTGGAGTCCTGCATGAACTGGTTGACCTCAAATAAGTAAATAATAGAGACTATGACCCTCATCAATGGTAGTACCAAGCCTTTCTTATTAAGTGGTTAGTTTTCAATTTTAAAGAAGTTTAACAACTTCCTTATTAATGATATGGATGAGAAAAATAAGTTGGAGGTTTGTATAGCCACAACGATGATTACAGTGGAATGAGGCTTTTCCATCAGTAAATAGTTCATTGTTGAAAACGTGAATTGTTACTATTATTACCTTAGTGTGAATAGTGTACCTGAGAATACCATATTATTTCATGCTCCTTTTTTTCAAAAACATTGAAGTTGTTCAATAACAGGCTTCCCATTTAAAGTTCCTTCTGCATTTTAGATATAACAGCAAAGTAAAATTATCACATGTTAGAAATAAATACTTTTTTCTTTAAATCACTAGCCTCCCAGTGGCATGTTTGCGGATTTTATAATGTTAAAACTGGGTTTCGATACCTATGGTGGGCATTGTGTAGCTTTGTGCTTAAACTACAAACATACAAACTTTTAAGCTACTAAATTTAATAAATGAGGGATAGGTCTTAATTCCTATTTCAATAGCACTGATTTCCAGAGGCTTCTTATCAGTCTTCTGTGTCTACTAGAGAAGATAGTTCAAAACACCAGTTACTTCTAGCTTCAGAAATTTCACCACAAGTTTCCTAAAAAGTTTGCTAAATTGTACATCATGAGTCTTTTTTGAAATATTTTAGTGTGGAGCTAGATGAATACAAAGGATTGACTTTTACATCAAAATTTGTCTTTCAGACAAATGGCAATTCTTCTACACTAACAGTCATAAATATACATTTATACTCTGGTAAAACAAGTCAAGAAGTACTTTTTCAGTCCCCTCAGCTGTTTAAGGAGTTTGCCACACACTAGAACTAGGGATAGCAGTTTATACTAAATATATTACAAGAACAAGTAACACTCGTTCCATTGTGTTTTTCATCCCCATTTTAGAATTTTTTTTTGGACCTAACCAACATTCAGAAATTAAGAATTTACAAAGCTACATACCAAATTGAAGCTTGTATACTTAACTTCACTCCTTTAGTACTAAAGGCATCAGATGACTAGAAGCTGGAGTGGTGTAAAGCTCATTCATGAATGTGTAAATAATCAGTCCATCACAACCACAAATATCAAGAATATTTAGGAAAATTATGTATAATACTGGATAGTTATTCATTAGTATTCACATGCTCATGATCTTTTGCATCAATATTGTACTTGTCACAAATAAATTACGGGGATGTTAAAACAGTAAGAAAATATGATGACTAATACAGCTATTATCATGATCTATAAAAATAATTATTATTAGTTTGCCAGCTCCTGAGGCTTTTGCTGAAGCTTATTGTTTAACTTGGCCAGTGCAGTGTTCTTTTATCCTTTGTGCATCTCATTTCATAGCTTAGGGTGAGTTGGCAACTGGTTTCTGTTTTGTCTTCAAAATCAATTTCTGAGTTGTAATGTCACTTTCAAATTGCATCTTCTGCTTCCTATCTGCACATTTTTTCTGCCCCATTAAGATATTTCTTTCGGCCTCTCCTGTTTGTCAAGGTAAACATGGTACTTTTGCCTTGTTCCTGCAGCTACCAAAATAAGTTTTTTTTTTCTCATCTAGATATTTTTGATGCCTCCAACATACTCTTGATGTTCAGTTTTTGCTCACTGAGAGCAACAATGCAGAAGACATGAACAAAAACCCTATAACCTGAGCACTTTTGAAAGGTGTATCTTTCTACTTCAGGGGCAAACTTTGGGTTATATGGTTTTTATTCATTTCTGTCAAGACCTACATATTTTTCTAACATCATGAATGCAAAAGACAGATATTGTCAACCATGATTTGCTTGTTCTCAAAGAACTCTTTCCACAGAGGAAAGGCCATAGAAAAGGAATAGAAGCATTTTTGTCATTTTCCAGAGCTTATACACTGGCTTTCTAGCCACGTGTTCATGAATGAAAACATCCCCCTTTTGATTTTTCCTTTTTGTGAACAAAAAGTTTGAAGTGGTGACTGCTGTCATTTAGAGAAGATGACAAAAATGTCATTTATAAATGACAAAACTTTGACAGAATTTGGTTGTAGTTTGTATCCTGTCTATAGATTTAGGGTCAGTCAAGATGTGAAAAGTTTTATTTTGCTGACAACCACTTCCACCTTTGTTTGAATGCAATGAATCAAGTTATCTTTTATGTTGATACCTACATGCTTGGTAGAAAAGAAACTGGCTCCATTATATTAGGACTAACAAGTCTCCATCAAGTTATTTTGTGGGTTAAAATGCATTTCATGTTGTAGATTTGACATCAGCATATGATTGACTTTACTGAGGTGATGGATATCAGTACACCTTTTTGAAATTCTTATATTGACATCTCTCCCACATAACTCTTTGAAGTAAGGTTGTCAGACATTGGGTCAAGAAGTAGATCCTCCTTAACTACTTTTTACATACAAGAAGATGCATAAAAGTCTGGCACATAATTGTTTATTAAATCAAGCCACATATTAACTAGATCATTGAAATCAGCCAATTTTAAGTGTTTTCTGATAGTGTTCCCAGTTTATCACTGATAGTGGAATAGGAAAGCAACTGTGCAACCAATATTTCGTTATTACACTGAGATCCTTCACATTCATTATGCACTTTAATTAGCTTGTGACAGGCTGTAAACTCCCAACCTTTGTTGCCAATCAATTTTCAAGTGGATCCTTTATAAGGATAGTACCATCCTCAAATAAAATTCATCCAGAAGCCAACTACAGATAGGTTTTAATAAATAGAACACATCTGGACAAAATAAACTTTTTTTTTCTGAATAATAGGCCTGGCATGGCCAGGTGGTTAGGGTGCTTGACTTGCAATCTGAGGGCCACAGGTTCGAATCCCAGTCCTACCAAACATGGGGGTGTTATAATGTTATGGTCATTCACACCATTCATTGGTAAAAGAGTAGTCCAAGAGTTGGCATAAGGTAGTGATGACTAGCTGCCTTCCCTCTAGTCTTTCACTGCTAAATTAGGGACAATTAGTGCAGATAGCCCTCGTGTGGTTTTGTGCAAAATTCAAAACAAACCAATCTCTGAATAATGGATATGAGAGAACTATGTTTTGTTGATGGTGATTGCAAAATCATACCACAACTGTATAGCCAATTTGACTAAGACCTGGGAAAGGTGTCAAGAAACTTCTCCATCATTTCCTTCTACTCTTTAAAATTTGCAACTTTTTTTTAATGTTAATCTTTGGAACATTTTTATGTTTAAAATTTGTTTCCATAAATTGAACTGATATTTAATTTGTTAATTTTGTGAAGTGAATTCTTTGACATTATTTGAGTCATTTACTTATGAAGTAGCCCACTAGCACAATCCTCATTATTACTTGTTAGTTTTGAGTTTCAATCACTACTTAGACCAGCACATTTAGGTTTGGTTTAAGCTGATGTTAAGTCTTTTTTTTTTTCAGACATTATCAATGCTTCTTGTAACTGTGCTTGTTAAAAGAATCCCTATAAGTTGTCAGTGTTGTCTCTTAGGTTTTTACAAAGATGTTTCTCAATTATTGTGCTCTGAACAGGCAGTGGGTGACTTGTCATTAACAACATGAAGTTTTGGAATTGTAGTTTTCTTCAAAACGTGAAAAGTGGGGAAAAAATCACTAAAATATTGTTCAGTGTATCTTGTGCTAAAGATGATCCAATTTGTATGTGTATTAGCATCCATCACCCAGAGTTTGCTGGCTTAATTACTATAATTTCTGGTATAGTAACAGGAAACTGTCTGACAATATACATGGGCTGTTTTGTTTTAGGATTTTTACCCAAGAAAGGGAATAAAAAGACCCTAAAATATGGCACATTTCTACCTTTTTTTTAGACTTTTGACTTTGAACTTAAAGACGCATGTACTTACTCAGTTGTCCTCTGGTGGGACAGCAGTAAGTGTAAAATCTGAGATTTGATTCCCCATGGTGGACATAGAAAATTGCCCAATGTGGCTTTGCTTAAAAAAAATAACTTAGTTAAACAAGGTAATTATTACCTTTACCTTCCACAAAGCAGGGTATTATGTTGGCATCTAAAAAGGTCATTAGGGATTTAATAACAAAAGAAAGAAGGAAGGGGAACATTATCTAACATCATCCTTTATATAGTTTTGCTTTCTTAATGGGTTCCTTGAGCTAGTTTAAATACAAATGCAATTCAAAGAATACAGAGGTTGAGAATATTATATTAAAATGTTTTTGGAGCATCACTACATTGTTACAGTCTATGTCACCACATCTGGTTATGCTCTATCTGACAACCATGCATCTTGGCAATAGCTCCACAGCATAATTTCTTTTGCAAAAGGCTCCATCATCAGGGTGAGGTGTCAAAAGCACACCCCTCCTCCATGCTGATTTCCATAATTTAGCTAGTGTTGTTTCTCGTTATTTGTTTCAACAGTCAGATAGCTTGAATACCTGTTTCATTT